CAAATAGGCACAAAGGTAGAAGTTCAGTGCAAATAGGTGATTTTATACAATTGTCAAGATTGACATTTATGATTAAAGAAAGGCTTTTAGATCAATAAGGTCATTCATTATCCACCTAAAATCTCAAATTTGTTATCTTAAGATCAGCATGAGTGATTTTTCTATGCTTTATTAACCTCATTAGAAATCATTCTATTAATTTCCTTGTACTTAAAATACAGATATGAAATATTGATTAATATTCTCCACCCATTTGAATCATAGCAAGAAATTTACTTTGTTTGACCTTTCAGTAACTAATTACACCCCCCTTTAAAAAAAACTTTTGGCCAGTCTCAATAGCAATTAGTTGTATTTCTTAGCATGGTAATGGGCTAGTAACCGGAAAATAGTGGAAGACTAAGTCGTATTTTGAGAAGCAGTGCAAATCCAAAAAGTGTTGTGTCTCAATCTCTTCACTTTAATCTTCTTAATAGTGGCACACAATAGGATAAAACTGATGCGAGTAATCTTATTTGGCAAGATCCCACATATTGCTTTCTCAAAAATTTGAAATAAGGGTGACGAGCTATGGATGAAGCTAGATCTAGTCCTATAATGTTGAATTGAATTCCTTGATATTAAAATTATAATTATATATAATTAAGCATCTATACAAACCTGCACATTTGGGAAAAACCATGGCCACATACAAAGAACTAGTTACAGGTTCAAATATATTACGATCAGTTGCCTCTGCAGTGAGGTAAAGAGAATAACGAATCCTCTTCTTAAAGAGATATAATATAAATATTTTGGGCTTTTTAATAATAATTGAAATAAATGAGAGTCCAAAAATCTCAATGCCTTACAAACTCTAAAGAGTTCCTTAGTGTATTTAACAACCCAGGAAATATGGCATTTGCTATGCTTATTCAACTATGAATTATCAAGTCATATTTAAGTGATTGTTGTTGTAGCAAAATAATTTGGAGAGAAAAGGTGTTAGGGGTGGAGACGGGGGTGAGAATTGATATATTTGAAACAAAAAGGTAGCATGTTGCTAACTTTTGAATCTGTATAATCTGTAAATAAGTAGTCATAATACTATCCTTTTGATTTTTTTCGTATGTTTAAAATATTTAATAATAAAAAGAAAAATATAAATGTACAGTAATTTTACCTATTTGCTGTTAAATGATCTTGATCTATAAATGCCTATGTAACATATATAGACAAGTTTTTTATATTTCAGTCAACAAACTTTCATTGAATATGCACCATAGGAGTTATTTTATGCTATATTTCAAGGAAACCTGTGCTTTAGTAAGAAAAGTTATTGTCCAAGTCTACAAATAGTTCTTAATCACTTTTCCCCCTCCTATTTTACTCCCTGATATGATTCCCAAAAGATCGTCAAGGGCATTGAACATTTCTTGTAATTCAATTCCAACTTAACTATTGATCCTTGAAAAGTTAAGTGCCAACAAGTCGGTCACCTGGGTAGCAATTTTCAGGAGAGCGGATAGTTTCTTGTCAGAAAAATGAAAGCCTGGATCTTATAGAATTAATTGACCTCAGAAAATATCAAGAATGTAGAGCAGAGTCTTCAGACAGTAACAACACCTACTTTAGTCTCTGTATGTTAAACTTAAATACAATTAGTTGTGCTTTCTATTTCCGGTTATTAGCAGGAGTCCCTGATTTCATTATTTTTGGTAGCAATTATACATAAAACAGCACATATTAACTTAATATTATTTTTAACTTCCAAAACTTGATAATATGCTTGTTTATAAAATTATATCTAGCTTAAAGTAGAAAATAAGTGGCAATTTATTTTATTTTTATTTCATAACAGTATATTAGCTATATTGCAATTGTAGAGATTTAACTATATTAACAATATAATACTCAGAAATATAAGCATTCCATTGCACATTACCAGTGTAATTCCAACTCCATTGTTTCTTTTTTAGAGAGAAGCAGATTTTTATCGTTTAGTCAGTTAGGAATATTATTTGATTTATAAGAATTAATGGTTTATATTTTATAGTCATAATACAATAATTGATTTCAAATTGTCATTGATGATTTGGCTAACACTGATATTTGTATGTGCTTTTTAGTTTTATCCCTTGTATAATTATATAAACTTCATTGACTTTCTGTTTTATGATTATTTTGGTAAGAATTAAAGTTTTAACCTATTGTATGGGTAGCTAACTCAAAATCTTTTCTGAGAGCAAGAAGGTAAGTAATACAATCAGTATGGCAAGTCACCTGAAACATTTTGGAGAGTGGGATATTATAACAATCCCCTCAGTAAACTCACTTCATGTATTCTGCTCCCTTGCCACCACCTCCTATATTTTCTACCTCATTCTTTTTATATCCTATATCTAATACTCTGTTGATCCTGCACAGACCTTCAGCTTATTAACCCACAATTATATTGACCTTTGTTTATTCCTGCCTAACATATTTAAATTCAACAGTGAACCATTATAATCAACTCACATATATGCATTTTCTTGTGAAAATCACACTATTTAAGTCTGTCTATGCTATGCCTGTATTCTTGCATCTGAAATCAGATAAACATCAGTATAATTACCGTAGGAAGCCTCAATACCCCACTGTCATAAATAGATCAAATAAATTAAAAAATATCAATGGAGAAATAACAGAGAATGAAACACTCAAATAAATGATCTTAATAGATATCTACAGTGTTCCACCCATCAACATCAGAATACACACTATCCTCAGCAGTAGATTAAACTTTCTCCAAAATATACCACATGCTAGCCCATAAACATGCTGAGGTAAATGAAAAAGAATTGAAATTATCCCATGAATATTGTCATATGTCATTGCAATGAAACTAGAAATCAATAGTGAAAGAAAACAGTAATTGTGCAAAGACAGAGAAATTAAACATTGCACTCTTTATGGATCACAGAATAAATCAAGAAAGGATTTATAGTTCCTAGATAGATCAGATGTTACAGCTGTGAATGCCCACATGAAAAAAACAGAGTGAGCCCAAATAATGTAATGATGTACTAACAATAATTCAAATCCAGAGCTACTACAAGGAATGAAATTATAAAGATCAGAAAAGAAACTAATGAAATTGAGCCTAAGACAAGAATACAAAGAATCAATGAATTGAAGAGCTTCTTTTTAAAAAAAGAATAAGGAAAATAGACAAACCTTTAATAACTCATACAAAAAAAATGGAAAGACTCAAATCCATGGAATTAGAAAGAAAAAGACAAACTCCCAATTAACACTGCTGACATCCAAAATATTATAAGTAATTACTTTCAGAATCTGTACTCCAGTACATTAATGATTCCAGAAAAATAGAGATTCCTAGATACAGAGGAAATAACAAATTGAACACAGAAGATATAAAAACTATGAATAATCCAATAACCCATAATAAAATTGAAACAGCAATAGAAAACCTACCAACTAAGAAAACCTCCAGACCCAATAGATTCACTGCTGATTTCTCCAAGAACTTCAGGGAAGATGGAACATTAGTACTCCTCAAACACTTTAATAAATTTCAAAGGGAATGAATACTTCCAAAATCATTTCTGGAAGCTACAGTTACTCTGAATCCAAACGCAGACAAGAACCCAACCAAAAAAAAGCTACAGGCCCATCTCCTTAATGAACATAGAAACAAAAATCCTCAACATGATACTAGCAAGCAGAATGCAACAAATTATCAGAAAGATCATACATCATGACCAAGTGCCCTTCATGCTGGGTATGCAGGGATAGCTCAACATCGGCAAATCAATAAACACAAAACATCACATGAAGAGAAGCAAAGAATAAAATCACACAACTATCTCAAGAGATGCAAAAAAATCTTTTGACAATCCCAACACCCATTCATGATAAAAACTCTGAAGAACATAGCCATAGAAGGACCCTATCTCAATCTTGCCGAATCCATTTATGACAAGCTTACTGCCAACATCAAGTTTAATGAAGAGGTGAAAGATCCCCCTCTAAATACAGGGATAAGCAAGAATGTCCACCATTAGCACCCTTGTTCAATATAGTATCTGAACCATTAACTGGAGGAATCAAGAAGAGAAATAAATAAAAGTTACATGCATAGGAAGGAAGAAGTGAAATTATCATTATTTGCAGATGACATAATTCTGTACATAGAAAACTCAAAAAAATCCACCAATAGGCTCCCTGTATTAATCGTCAAATTCAGTAGTATAGCAGGATGCAAAATCAACCCACAAAAATCAATAGCATTCCTGTATACAAATAATGAATTCACTGAAGAAGTAAGGAAAACAATACCATTCACAATAGCATTAAGAAAAATCAAATACGTAGGAATTAATCTAACCAAGGAAGCGAAAAACTTCTACAATGAAAATTACAGTACAAAAAAAAAAAATTACAGAAAACTGCACTACTACGAAAAAAGAGGTTCAAAGAGAATATCTGAAAATGGGAATTATCCCCAGCTCCTGGATGGGCAACACCAATATTGTTAAAATCACCGTACTTCCAAAAATGATATACAGATTTAGTACAATCTCAATCAAAATACCACTACCATTCTTCATAGAACTAGAAAAAATATCCTAAAATTTATCTAAAATTATAGTCCTAAAATCCAGAAGAGACCTAGAATAGCTAAAGCAATCCTGGGCAACCAGAGCAAGGCAGGAAGCATCACAATCCTTTACTTTACATTATATTGCAACACTACCATAAGTAGAAATAGCACACATGAAACTGCAGGAGTTCTGAGGTGTTGCATGACGTGCAAAAGAGATCATCATCAAAACATGTCTCTCTTCACCAACTACGCCCTCTCCAACTCCCATCCATCCTTTTCTCACTTTCTTGGCCCCTTATTCTCACTCTTACACCCACATTCCACCCACACACCCCCACCTCTGAAAAATAACTTTCCATTGGAGTGCTTTTCTGTTTTGTTGCACATTGCTGATTTTACTAAAGGCTTCGCAGGCAGATTTCCCTTCTACAGTGGAAGCAATTTTTTCCTTTGAGAAAAATTCATGGCTTTACACCAAGGGCAGTTCCAATCCCTAGGATTGCAAATGCTGGATGTTTTCTCTGCTGATGGAATTCAGAGTCTCTCTTGTGTTTCTTGTGTTCCTTGAGCCCCCACATCAGAGCACAAGCTAACATCAGAGGCTGAGCAGTGGGGGGCCATCTGAGAAGGAACAGGTGCTGTGATCGTGGCTGCCAGTGGGGATGGTGTGGATGTGAATGGGAAATCGGACAAGGGGCTTGAGTAGCTGTATGTGAACGAGGCAGGGAGCTGGACAGGAAGGGGATCTGGTGAGGTGGTGGCTGTGGCCTTCAGGGTCCCAGAGAGATAAAGCGTGGCTGTTTCCACAGGCCTAATAGCACCCTCCCTCTCTCTGTCAGAGGTGTAATTTTTCTGCTGGGCAACTCCAAGAAGCTGCAGGAAGCTTCTATTCAGAGCCTGTGTGGCCTCCTCTTTTTCCTCTTCTCCTCTTCCTTCACCGGTAGCACTAGTTTCAGCCTCTGCCACCTCTTGCTTCTCACCTGCTCCTAGTGTCGCCACCTCTCCGACAGCAGCCACGTCTGCCCCCTCCACAGCAGGGTCTGGGAGAACCCTCAGCTCCTGAGGAGAAATGGGCAGGGCTGAGACACATCCTGGGGGTGGGAACCCGATGGGGGTGCAGGTGTATGATTGGAGTAGGGGGCAGTGGGGTCATTTTACCGCCTGCACAAGCTTCCACCTCAGGAGGTCCCGCTCTTTCTGCACCTGGGCCAGTTTGGTGTGGACCAGCTGCAGCTGGAAGGCAGCTTCCTTGCGCTCCATTTCCTGCTGCTCCATGAGCTCCTTCAGATTTGAGACCAAGGCATTTGTGGATGACTTGTGCAGTTTGGCAAAGTCCTGCAGACACTGCACCTGGTGCCCCTGTAAGTGCTGCTGCTTGCAAGCTAAGTGCACTCCCAGAGCCAGGCTGCCCCAGGCACAGGCCTCTTGAGCTTCACTGGGCACCTCGCTGTCCTCCAGGATGGCCCTGATCTTGTCTTCTATCTCTTCCCAGGACAGAGACAGATTTTCATGGTAGAACTCGGGGCCTTTTGGGTGCCTGGCCATCTTCTCATTGATGAAAGCTACCACTGCGTCATGCTGGAATCCACTACTGGGGTCTTCTGGTTTCAAGGCCATGATGACTAAGGGCCTTAGCGGCTTTGCTGGCCCTGTTGAGATAGATCAACTCATTGCCCCTCCCCTCTCTCTTAGGCCTTCCGCGCCCGCCGCCCGCCGCCCGCCGCCCTCCCAACCCTGACCCTCAGAATGTTTCCCTGGCCAGGCTTTTCCCCACGTTAGGATACCTCCCAAGGAGTCCTTAACTGTAGCCAGGGGCCAGAAGAGGTGTAGGCTGCCCACCCCAGCCTACCAAGCCCAGGGAGAGGCGGTCTTTCTTCCTCCCAGGCAACCGAGGAAAGGGAGCTGTGAGGGCCGTCTTTAGATTTTTACTCTGGGACTGTTCCAACTTCCAGAGAGTATAGGGGTGGGAAGGAGTATGAGAGGAAGGTCCGTCCCTTTCCTGGGACACAAGGGAACCTACCTTTCTGGGGTGAAAACCCTAGAAGGTGAGAAGAGATGGGAGTGATCAGAAAAGACTCAGAACCAAGAAAATGAAGCTTTTGTAAGCAAGTCAAAAAGTCCCAGTCTTCCCACTTATAGTGAGTTTACCCCACACCAGGGGTTGGTAGGGCCCCGCCTAGAGATGGAATGTTCCAGAACAATACACAGCTCCAACTTCTCAGCGGCCTCTACCCTACTCCCACAACATCCCCCAACATTCTGAAGCTATTCTTTCACTCTTTTGAATTACAGTACAAGTGTTAGCTAACATTTTTAAATAAAAGAGCCAGACAGGGTATTTGAGTATTGCTGGACAAAAGATCTCTGTCCCAACTACTTGTAGTACAAAAGTATTCATATATAAATACCTAAAGTTATGAACATGGCTGTATTTCATTAAAACTTTATTTACAAAAGCAGATGGTTGGTGTGATTTGGCCTGCAGTTTGCTGACTGCTGATATATATTTCTATTTCATTCATGTCCTACAGGCAGCCAAAATCAAAATGTTTATATTATAATTAACCATCTTCCTGTTAAAAGAAAAAATAGATAACTTTAAAAGTTTATTTGAGCAAAGAATAATTTCTAAACGTGGCAGTTTTCAGAACCACAAGAGGTTCAAATAGCTCTTTGCATCAGTATAAGCAGTGAAATTTATAGGCCAAACATGAAAGTAGAGAAATTAACCTGATTGGGTATAGTTAAGTATTTGCCTTATTTGGGCATGATGTGATGAAGCAGTTTTGATTTATCTGGGCATGGTCTAATGATTTGGCTGCTTGTGATTGGCAGAAACTTGGCCAGCTGTCACTGGCTGAACACTTGTTTATTATACATCTAAGTTTTATGAAATTTGGTTGTAGTTCCTTAGGTTAAAAACTCAAAAGTATGTGGGCGTCCTCAAGCTGTAAACTCTTATTTATTTTAACACCCTCACTACACAGTTCTCCTCACATATTCTTATGTGGAACAATACAGAATCCTCAAAATCATCAACACCTACTTCCATCAATAATTGGTGCAATCCCATCAATAACAAAACACATCACTTACCATGTCTTTTTGCTATTACCTGTGTAACTTCTTGTGTGTCCATTTTTGCTTAAGAAATTCCTGTGTTGCTTCCTAAATAACCTTCCTGTCCAATGTCCTCTTCCTAATGTCCAAGTGTTCCCTGACCTCTTACAATTGTGCTAATTTTAAGCTTAAGAATATTTGACAGCTCCCATAACACACTCTTTGGCCTGACATTAAAGTCTCACCCTAGCCTACTTTTCTAATTTACTCTCTCTATTCTCATTAGCCCTTTCATTTATTCACTCAAGGGACTAATCTATGCAAATTTGCTCATTTTTTATTTCATATAATTCCCCACACCAACAAATCAGTACATACATTCTTTATGTTGGGGGCATCCATCATGTTCTATTCTATGAACTATACTGAAAAGGCTAATATTTCTTCTCTAAGTATTTTGTATCAGATAGTGTGACAGAAAAATAATGAATCAGTCATTAAAATATTATTTAGGAAGTTAGTTAAATCCCAGAATTATAAAGTTGTACTATTTAGCTTTTAAAAAATTGCAACCTTTTGTTTTCTATTTTTTGTTCTGTGTTTATCATCTCATGGGGGAAAGAGTTTATACTATGGCTTTTGCAAGAGTGACTTATGTAAAAAAAATAAAGCACTCCAGTGATCAAATACATGATGAATATTTAAATTTTTAAAAATTCTGCAATAAAGACACTTTGCTATTAAAGCTCCTGAAAATACTCCCCGTTGCTTCCAACACACCTATTCCATCATTCTTGCCACATCCTGCAGTCATTCTGGAAGTTCTCGTTTGTGAGTATATTTATGATGTGATCAAAATTATGGTGAATTCTGATGCTAAGTGCCATCCACCATAAAGGCTCAGGAAAAAATTGTGTTGCGTTCTCATTTATTGACCTGAACTGGCAACATATGACATCTGGATCCTCTTCAAAGTCAGAATGACTATGGAAGGTAAATGCTTTGGTTTGATTCAGGACATCACGAAAGCCAGGACAGTGCAAGTAAAGACACTCCTGAAAAAGAACTTTCAGAACTGCTTTGGAAAGTGGCAAGAATGATGTCATAACTATGTTCAAATCCAGGGGGAGTATTATGAGAGGGATTAATGCAATGTGTCTTTTACTATAAAACATTTTTTAGAAATTTAAACTTTCACTGTAATTATGGATAACACTTAATATAAGCGTGAGGAAAGGTAGAAGAGACTGTTAATAGGGAGACCCATTAGGAAGATGCCATATTAATTCAAGAGGTAAGTTGAGGCACTGCATATAGAAATGGAGAGAAGAGTGTAAAGAGCCATTTAGAGATCGTGGGAAGCAGCCGTGTGGACCAGAGTGATGTGGCTGCAGGTAGATCAAAGCCAGGGCCCCGCCCTGACCCCAGAGGCACAGGCATACCCACCCAAGCACATGTACATTTTATTTTATTTTATTTTATTTTATTTTATTTTATTTTATTTTTTGGTACCAGAGATCAAACTCAGGATCTTGCACTTGTGAGGCAGGCAGCAGCACCACTGAGCTAAATCCCCAGCCCCAAGCAAATATATATATTTTAAACAATATCCTAGGAAAAAACAATGAGGATCAAACCCAGGAAGCCCAGCAGAATGAATCCATCAGGCATGACAAGAAATTAAATGCAAAGTGGGAGAATCCAACAAAAAGATAAAGTCGTGAAAAGGATAAGTCAATACATATCAGTTATAACCATCAATGTTGATGGTCTCAATTCACCAGTCAAAAGAAATAGACTGGCAGAATAGGTCAAGAAGCAAGATCCAACACTATGCTACATACAAAAAACACAAAAAAAGAAACTCATAGACTGAAAGTTAAAGGGTGGAAAACAATATTCTGTGTGAGAAACGAACAAACAAACAAACACAAAAATCCCAAAACAGACAAAAAACCAGAAGTAGCTATCCTCTTTGCATATCAAGTGGAATTCAAACCAAAGACTGATTAAGTGAGACAAAGAAAGACTCAACATCCTCGTAAAGGGAACAGTCCAAGAGGATACTTCCAAAACTTCTATAAAGATTCAATGCAATCCCAATTGAAGCTCCAGCAGCATACTTCACAGACCTTGAGAAAAAATTCAAAATTTCACTTGAAACTAGAAGAGATGCAGAATAGCAAAAGCAATTCTCGGCAACAAAGACAAGGTAGGAGGTATCACAATCCCCAACTTGAAAGTATACTACAAACTACTGTGATAAAAACAGAATGGTACTGGCAAAGAAACAGACCTGAGGACCAGTGGAACAGATTAGAAGATGCAGAGACAACTCCAGACACACTGAGCCACCTCATCTTTGACAAAGGAACCAAGCACCCTCACTGGAGGATAGCGTCTTTCATAAATGGCACTGGAAAAATTGGATTTCAGCTTGCCAAAGATTAAAATTAGATCTATATCTGTCACCATGCACAAAACTAAAATTGAAATGGATTAATGATCTAAATATTAAAACAGAAACTCTAAACCATCTGGAAGAGAGTTTAGGTAGAACTCTTGAAGACATTGGTGTAGGAAAAGATTTTATGAACAAAAGCTCAGTTGTTCATAAACTAGCACAAACCATCAACAGGTGGGATGTCTTCTTATTAAAAAGCTTCTGTACCTCAGGAGAAATGGCCAACAGTGTGAAATTACAGCCCACAATGTGGGAAAAACTTTTCACTAGCTCTTCCTCAGACAAAGATCTACTATCTAGCCTATACAAAGAACTTCAAAAAATCAGACCTTTCAAAATTAAAGACCCAATCCAAAAATAGGCATCTGAAAATAATAGACATTTATCAGACAAAAAAGTAGAAATAGCAAATATACATGAAAAAATGTTCCACATCACTGGGCATTTGAGAGATGCAAAGGAAAACATCACTGAGATTCCGCCAAACCCCAGGAAGAATGGCTGCTATCTATTATCAAATCAACCAATGACAAATGCTGGCAAGGCTGTGTGGAAGAAGGAGCCCTGACCCACTGCTGGTGGGAATATAACTGGTGTACTGTGGAAATCAGTATGGAGATACCTCAAAGAACAAGGATTGGAAGTCCCATTAGACCCAGCTATTCCTCTGCTGGGTATCTTCCCCAGAGAATGAAAAGAATCATATCACAGTGATATATGCACACCTATATTCATAGCAGCACAATTCATGGTAGCTAAAACTTGGAAGGAGCCCAACTGCCCATCATTGGTAGACTGAATAAAGAAAATGTGTTTTTTAAATAAATTGGAGTACTATTCAGCCATAAAGAATGAGAAGCTAGAGACATTTATGGATGAATGGATGCACACTGAGGTGATACTCGTAAATGAAATAAATAGGACACACATGTGTAAATACAGACTAGCTCCTCTAGTGTGAGAAACTGACAAAGTGTAAATAAGGACTAAAATGTATAATAGATAACGTGAAATAGGAAGAAAAGGGCTAAAGGTGTAGGAGAAGTGGGAAGGGTGGGGGAAAGGAAATAAGGGAAAGAAAAAAACATGAGAAACTGAAAAGATGGAAATAAAGTGTTTGTAAATAGGGAAGGGAGGAGGGGTGAAGGGAGGGCAGGGGCAAGGGGAAAACCTGAGAACCAAGACCTGTCCTGTAAAGGTACAAGATCTCAATAATGAATGTAATTCTACTTTATACCTAAAATGTACCAATAAACTCTATGAGGAAATAAAATAAAATAAAATGTATAATAGATAATGTGAAATAGATGAAAAAGATGCAAAGGGGACATGGGAGGGTCAGAGAAAAAGAAGAGGGAATGGAATGAATACAAGACA